ATCATCAGTCAAAACAAGGCCAGGGGCAGATTGTGAAACAGATCATCAATTGCTCATATACAAATTCAGACTGACGGTGAAGAAAATGAAAACAAGTCCACAAGAGCCAAAATATGACCTTGAATATATTCCACCTGAACTTAGAGATCATCTGAAAACAGATTTGATACATTAAACACAAAAGACCAAAGAGCAGAAGAGTTGTAGGATAACATCAAGACCATCATAGAGGAAGGAAGAAAAAAGTCATTAAGAAGACAAGAAAGGAGGAAAAGATCAAAACAGATGTCAGAAAAGACACTGAAACTTGCTCTCCAGCGTATATATGCTAAAGCAAAATGAAGAACTGAGGGGATACAACAGTTTAACAGAAAATGTAGAAGGTCAGCTTGAGAAGACAAGGCCAAATATTACAATGAAATGTGCAAAGATCTGGAGTCAGAAAACCAAAAGGGAAGAACACTCTCAGCATTTCTCAAGTAGTGGGAACTGAAGTTAAAAATTTAAGCCTCAACTTTCATTACTGAAGGATTCTCTGGCAAATTATTAATGCAGAAACCATCAAAAGGAGAAGGAAGGAATACACAGAGTCACTGTACCAAAAGGAAATGGTTGATGTTCAACCTTTTCAAGAGGTAACATATGATGAGGAGCCAATGATAATGAAAGAAGAAGTCCAAGGTGCATTGAAGAAACTGGTAAAGAACAATTGGTACCAGGCACTGATGGAATAAAAATTGAAATCTTTCAAGACAGTGAGGTGGCACAGGAGGCACATTCTCATCTCTGCCAAGATATCTGGAAGACAACTATGTGGCCAACTGATTGGAATAGATCTGTATTTGTGCTCATTCCAAAGAGCAGTGACCCAATGGATTGTGGAAATCATCAGACAATATCTATGATATCCCATGCGAGTAAAGTTTTACTAAAGGTAATACAGAAAGGGCTGCAAACATACATTGACAGAGAACTTCCAGAGGTTCAAGCCAGCTTCAGAAGAGGATATGGAACTAGGGATATCATTGCTGATGACTGATGGATCTTGGCTGAAAGCAGAGAAGATAAGAAAGATGTTTATCTATGTTTTATTGACTATGCAAAGGCTTTCGATTGTGTGGATCATCACAAGCTATGGATAACATTGTGAAGTATGAGTATTCCAGAACACTTAATTATGCTCATGAGGAATCTCTATATGGACCAAGAGGTAGTTGTTTGAACAGAACATGGGAACACTGAATGGTGTAAAATTAAGAAAGGTATGCGACAGGGTTGTATACTTTCACCATACTTATTCAATATGTACACTGAGCAAATAATCCAAGAAGCTGAGTTTTATGAAGAAAATCGTGGCATCAGGATTGGAGGAAGGCTCATTAACAACCTGTGATATACAGATAATACAACATTGCTTGCTGAAAGTGAAGAGGACTTAAAACACTTACTGATAAAGATCAAAGACCAAATCCTTCTAAATAGATTACATCTCAATGTAAAGAAAACAAAAGTCCTCACCATTGGACCAATAAACAACATTCCTATCAATGGAAAAATGATTGAAGCTGTCAAGGACATCATTCTTCTTGGATTAACCATCAACACTCAAGCAGTAGTCAAGAAATCAAATGATGTATTGCATTAGGCAAATCTGTTG